CTCTCTAGCGTATACGAGCGAGCCTAACGGCGGTGTAGAGCGCGTTAGGAAGGAGGTTATAGAAAAGAGTATTAAGATACTTAATAGCGCGAATTTACCCACGAACCTCTAGCCAGAGAGTATTATAACCGTAGCTATGCTACTTAATATTACCCCAAAACGCACACTAGGCTAGAAAGCACCGCGCGATAAGCTTAAATCGTGGTTCAAAGAGGCAAACATACCACTAAAGGATATAAGCGTGGATACGCGGCCCAACTAGAATAGTATTTACGCCTATAGCTACAAAGCGTTCCCGCTTATAGTAGATAGGGCAGTAGGGCGCGAGAAGCGTTTATTTAAGACTAGCCCTAGAGGGTATATCGGATACCTCGTTAGCTATATTATAACTAACGTATTCCGAATATAGGTCCCTCGGCTTAAGAAGGTTATCGTGACTAAGGACGTTACGTTTAATAAGCGGTACTTCTACTAACCTTAGGAGGAAAGTTCGACGGAGCTTCCCGAAGCAACGTTTAATAACGTAATAGTAAAGGAGGATAACGATAACGATCTTTATCTCTTCTAGTATTCCCTACTAAAGAGCCTTACTTATAATCATACCACCGAGCATTCGATATCGGGGGTAATAGCGCTAGAACTAAAAAAGACTTCCGAATCGTAAGATAAGGAAGGATCTTAAACTCTCGGTTATTTATAAACCCTAGAGAGCATACTAGACCGCGACCCTAATCTACTAGAGTATATAATTATAAACGGAAGAGCTCGTAGTAGTAGTAATCGGACGAATAACGAGAATCCGGATATATAGTATCTCGAAATAAAAAGTCCGCCGGAGTAACTCCTATATACTCCGAGATCGCCTAGAAACGTATTAGAGCGGCCGGAGAGGGATTAGAGAGCTCGTCTAGGGGAACCCGAGCCTCGAGAGACGAGCATACTAGAACACCATCCTAAACAAGGCGAACAATCCTAACTAATAGGAGGTGCGCGGAGGAGCACTCGGAAGCGAAAGCCTAGGCTCCTATTCGAATAAGTGTATACCGTGATCTCGAATAACGTCGGAGATACTAAGAAGGAATTACCTAAGCTACTCTAGGCGCTCGAGTACGAGAAAACGCGCTGCCTTACTATACTAGCTATATTCGCCGTAGCTACGATTAAAAAGAGCGCCGCTCGGCTACGCACCAGAACACAAGGGAAGATCTATCGCGACCAACTAGTAAAGGTACTAACGAACTAGAAGGAAGCCTTAGCTTACCTACTAAGCGCTGAATAGCTCGAGGTAGTATTACTCGAGATAGAAGCAATACGCGCTAAAGGAGTCTAGCGCGAGATCCTATACGCGGAGGCACGCTCGAGACCTTTACCGCTTAAGTAGGTATTCTTATATAAGTTTGATTCTATAGGTATATTAGAGCGCTACAAAGCACGCATTTATATACGCGGAGACCTATAAGAGTAGATTACGATATAATAGACCTATACTACCACGCTTACGGTACGGTTATTTCGTATCCTTATCGCACTAGCCGCTTACTTCGGCCTAGATATTAAATAATTCGACATTAAGACGGCATTTCTTAACGCAAAGCGCGATAAGCACGGCATACCAGTGACCTATAAGCTTCCACTAGGATTCAAGCAACCTAATATATGCATGGAACTCGATAAAGCGCTGTACGGGCTAAAGGACTTACCGATATTATGGTTTAAGGAATTCTCGTTAAAACTCAAAGCCCTCGGACTTATGTAAAGCGCTGAGGAACCTTATATATTCTATTCGCCTGCTCGAGATATCTACGTTATCTTTTTTGTGGATAATATGCTAGTCTTCTATCACCCCTCGCGACCCGCGGTAGCCGAAGCTATAATTAAGGGCATTAAGGAAGCCTATAATATTTACGATTAAGGTAATACCGAGTGGTTCCTAGGAATCGAGATTATTCGAGACTACATAAAACACACGATCTACTTAAGCTATGCTTAGTATATCGAAAAGATAGCTATTAAATACAACCTCGTTAGCTCTATAAGTAACCTAACGATTCCTATCCCTATCATTGAATATCGGAAAAATAAAGAGATAGTAAGCGCGAAAGAGGTAAAACGCTATTAAGAACTTATAGGTTTATTGCTCTACTACGCTATAATAATACGGGTCGATGTCGCCTTTGCAGCCTTACTTTTATTAAGATTCCTATAAAACCCAGCACTAGAGTATCATAAGGTAATACACTAAGCGATTAAGTACCTATACGCAACGCGAAGCCTTACTCTTTGTTATAAACAGAGTACTATAGGAGGTGTATTAGCCATCGCCTCGGATACCTCTTTCGGCGATAATCTCGACACCCGAAAATCGTCTTAGGGCATAATTATTAGCCTCTTCGGCGGACCTATGATCTAGAAAGCTACCCGGCAACCCACTATAAGCACCTTAACCACAGAAGCAGAGCTCCTAGGGCTTAAATAGATAGCGAAGGAAGCTCTCGGTATAACTCGCTTGTTTAGAGATATATAGTTCGACCTAGAAGAAGAAATCGACCTTAAATATAATAACGCATAAACTATTCGCCTAGTGTGCTCTAAGAACATACGAATAACGACTCGACTACGCTATATTAATATTTAGAATATATAGCTACGTTAAGAGTTTCTAAAGGGCGCGTTCAAAGTCATATATCTTAATACGAAGGAAATACCGGCCGATAGTCTAACTAAGGCATTACCCCGTTAGAGATTTCAAGAATAAAGAGCGATACTTTAACTACATAATACGAGCATATAAGGAGAATAGTCAAAGAGTATAAAGCGGAGGCAAACAATTCTTTTAGGAGCACTAGACTAGCTAGTCTTCTACTCTAAGAGCACACCACCAGACTATCTACTACTCACTAGGAGCCTTAGCTAACTATCTATGCAAGTCGGTAATTATCTAGTGCGCCTTAGCGCGCGAAGAAAGCACGAGCGCTACTCAGGGAGTATTACTTAGCGGGGCGGGAGTCCTCTCGGCCTCGGACAAAAATCCTTCACCCTTATATATTTCGTCAAGGGCGCGCAACGCCTTTCGGCAGTTGGCAAGGTACTGCACAAAGCTCTATTAGCCAAGAACGAGCAAACAAACGCTAGGACTAAAGTTCACGCTTACGGCGGGGGAGGAGCCGGAGGCATACTACTTTATCTATAGCAGAAAAACGGACGGTCTATAGTCTATGGTTAGTAAAGCTCGAATTTCAAATACAGAGTATTGCTAGACTTATAAAGGAGTGTAGGCATAGCCTGCGGCGTAGCGTTAATAGCGCTTAGCGCGCTAGGAGGAGGGCTCGTGATATTCGAGGGTAGATTTGCCCGAGATAAATACGCGAACGTATTAAAGGCACGGTAAGTACCGGAGAGCACTTTCGAAGGGAGGGCGCTACTTTATAAGTATTTAAGTAAGACGAGCAAAGCGCGAAAACTTACCTTTTAACGCTTCTTAGGCGTCTTAATCTCGTCGTTATCATTATCGTCGTCGTCGTCGTTAGCGCTATCGCGAGCGTTGGTCTACTTCGCGGCCTGCTCGGCGGCTAGCCGCCGAGCTTCCGCCACTTAGGCGCGGGTCTAGGTAAGGCGCTCGTAAGATAGAAGAACTATTCGCATACGTTAGCTAAGCTCGTAAAACTTAAACTAAGCGTATCAAATATACGGGCAAGCATAATAAAAGTAGTATAAAGAGGAAATATTAAATTCCGGCCTTAGGCAGGGGAATACGACTCTCTTATATACTTTCGGCCTCTTACCTTAATGCTCTAAAAGTATTATTCGAGTTATAAATAGCCTATTGAGGCCTTAATAACCATTCACGAACAATAGCAATTAAGGGTATCACTATATTACTAACGCTACCTACAGGACCCAATAATATTAGATTAACCCACATAAGCACTATAGCTATTAGAACAATACTCTAACGCCTTAGATAAAGCAGAGACCCTACCTTAGAACCCTACTAATCAGCAACGATAATAATACTCGCGTGGTTAAATAACCACATAAGTAGGGGGTGTGTGATAATAAGCCTACCTTATAGCGGGGCTAGGCTCGATTAAGATTCTACCGTTAGCGGTGAAAAGGTAATACCGGAAGGGTGAGAACCTGAAATTAGTGAGACCGGAGGTAAACGACCCGGAATATAGGAAATTAGAGAGGAAGGCTCTAAGAGGATAGGATCATGCGATCAAGAACGCATAAATAGAGCCTCAACGGCTATCTCTTTTGTAATAATACAAGGCACTTGAACAACCTTCTCCACAGCGCATCACACTATACTAGTTAAGTCGCCACCGAGTACTTCCTGGTAGGTTGCGTCTATAAAGTTTGAAGGCGTCTGGTATCTCCTCAAACCCGTACGGCCAGGCAAAAAAGAGTCATGGCAAGTAATGGTATACTCTGAGAACTAGGAATAAGTTACTAGAAAGGGACAAGGAGGACGAGACAAACTGTTAGTCCGCTTGCACCGCAAGAGTTCAAACCCAACGATAACCGACGTGCAAAGAGGGGAAAGCGGTAGGGTCACAGAAACAGTCACTGCTGGCGGATATGAATGACTTATTTCCAGACGCACCCGAGGTTCCATTGCGTGCAGTTATGTGACCAACTTGCGTGGCGAGGCCTTGGCCGCAAGTGGTCCCTGTCAATCTGCGTGCATTATTTCCGCCACCAAGCATCTCTGAGTCTCTGACCATGTAAGCCAGAAGATTGACCATAAGAGCAACACTGCATCTGCCTACTCCTGCTATCAAACCCTATCCTTTAGATACTAGTCCTGCAAGATCTCTGACATGATGGCTTCTATGAAAAGATTGCACTCGAGGCTCCTGGCCACTATCCTTGCGGTCTGCGCGATTCAAACCGTGCAAGGAATACTCACGGCCACTCCCACGTTAACGCCTGTCCTCGTGGAGAATGCAATGGGAAGACTCGGCCGTAATGGGCAAATCATGGACGAGAATCCAAGCATGCCCCATGATCCAGACACGAACCCTGATTGTTCTTGGTGGTGGGACAACGACGGGAGCATCAGTTGTGAAGACATGCCCCGCGAATGGGGCATAAGTCGCGAGGACTTTTTGGCTTGGGTAAGAAATGCCGCGTCCGCCCCAACAAGAGATCCAAGTATAGTTGAAGTTTGCTGACGCTTCGATCTAACGCAGAATCCTTCCATCCGTACGGACTGCAGTAACTTTATTGCTGGTCGCTCATACTGTGTCGAAGCACCATCTTCTCCTCCACCGGGCAACCCGACCGTTACATCCCAAGATCCAGGAACAACAACAGCCCCGGACAACGGTGTCGAGACACCACAACCCACGCAGCCGGGCATGATTGGCACTTGTGACCGATTCTACCTTGTGCAAAAGGGCGACTCATGTTCTATCATTGCAACTAACAACGGGATTCCGCTTCAAAGTTTCGTCAGCTGGAACCCCTCCGTTATGTCTGACTGCAGTGGACTCTGGGCCGAAGTTTACGTCTGCATTCGCGTCCTCGGATACCAGTCTACTACCGTCAAGCCCTCGTCCACAACATCTGCTGGCAACGGCATCGCTACCCCGCAACCCACGCAGCCAAACATGGTAAAAAACTGTAACAAGTTCTATTTGGTCGAACAAGGTGACAACTGCGCCGCAATTGCCTCATCAAATGGCATTTCACAGGCGCAGTTCATCCCCTGGAACCCATCTGTTCAGTCAGACTGCTCTGGGCTCTGGGCAAACGTCTACGCATGTGTTCAGGTGGTTGGAAATCCCACGAGTTCAAGCACAAGACCTTCTACTACCCAAGACAACGGCATCGCAACCCCGTTGCCAACTCAGCCTGGCATAGTGAAAAATTGCGACGGATTCCATCTAGTGTCCTCTGGTGAAAGTTGCGCCTCCATTGGGGCCAAATACGGGGTTATCGCCGCGCGAGTCCAACAGTGGAACGGTTTGACCAGCGCGTGTGCCGGGTTATGGGCCAATGCTTACGTCTGCGTGCGGACGATTGGTTACAAACCTACAAACAACCTCCAATGCGCGTCTACTGGCAAGACTTGGGGTGGCAATCAGCCTGCCGCTCTATCCAGCGTCGGGAAATGGTGTAACGGTGATTCGAGTACGGATAGTAGCGGCGCTTACACGCTGGCGCAGACAAAGACTGGCTGCTATAATGCTCCCAATGGCTCGAACAAGATTCTGTTCACGGCTCGCAATGACTTTGGAGCGGCCGCCACGCTCCCCGTGGCCCGATGCGAGGAGATTATGCGGGCGCAGATCAACGGCTGCACAATGGGGGGTTCTGGTACCTCAGAAGGCTGGTGGTTTAGGTGAGTTTCTGCCCCCCCTGAGTGCTAGAAGATTCGTCGCATGCTAGCTATTGAATTACAGTGCTGTGGTTGTCGCCGGAAGATGTTAGGAATTCTCTAGAAGTAAGCTAAAGATAAATAAATATAAAGATGAAAACTAGGTAGATATAATAATAGTGATTAGCTTAAGAAAAATATAATATTATAGCTACTTAAATCGGAGGCGTAGCTAGGGTTCTAAACTAAGAGCTTTTTCTTTAAAAACCTTAGCTATATTATTATAAACCTTTAATAGCTCTTGATTAACTTATTATATTTACTAAATTTTAAATATATAAAGATATCGCTAAGAAATAGGTCTCTTATACTCTAACCTCTCTTTTAATCGTTTGTTTCTTAGTAAGTATTTACTTTAGTATCCTCGTTCTATTACTATCCTTAGAGGACCGAGCCTAAAAGTATTATAAGTCTACTTAGTAGGGCTTATAGTAGCTTTATTAAGTTATGCTCGCGGTTATAATTCTAGAATATTATTAGCCTAGCTATATTAATAATATACTAGGCAAGCGTTTCCTTAGAACTATATATGCGCCGTAGGCTAGAGTTAGTAGGAATATATATAATAATTGTATTATAATAGCTAGTTTACTATACTTAACTTATTTTTACTATAAGAAATTCGCTTTCTAAAAGACTAAGAGAGCGCCTAGCTAATTTAATTTAGAAAGACAAGGAACATTTAGCTAGTATAGACGCTCGTGTCGCTCGATTTAGATTAGAAATACTTAGTAAAGCCTTCTTATTTATATTGTCCTTGATTTTATCCCTGCAAACACATACTATCTAGGGAGCTCGGTTACGCTGTGGTAACGGATAAGGCGTGTTTAAGTCCAAGTTCTATAACTCCATAGCAAGTAAATATAAGACTAAGAACTACATTAAGGAGGACGACCAGGTCCTGAAAGAGCTTGACAAAGACAAAGAGGCTCGATGTTATGAAAGAGCCTAACATAGTGTTGTTTTGTGATTTATCTGTTGTTAAAAGTACACGGTTCTCGGCTCTAGTGAGTCACATGCGAACACACCCAGCGCAAACACGCAAGCGTCGGTGATCGTTACTTACTTCACATGAGTAACTATCCACCAGTTCACTCGCACGCTGCGCATGCTAGGCCTGGCCTACTTTTGTCCTGATAGTGGAAAGACACACAAGGCGAGTCACAAAAAAGAGTTCTCTGAAAAGTACTTTCTTAACCAAAGCACTATACTCAATCTGCATATTCTAGCGCCCTTACTCTAGTACCCCTTGCCAACCACCCAATCTCCCGCCCTAGACCTCAGTGCGCTCCAGGTGGAAGGAACCTTGTTGCGCCGCAGCTGCCTCAACATGCCAACAGATTGAGCATAGAAACCCAACGCGACTTGTTCTTTCAGGAATCGCCTAATGCTGCCCAAGATATGAGTCTTCTCCTTTGTCCTCTGTGCTTCTTGTAGCCATAGAGCCCGGCGATTATGAAGAGTCACCAGCCTCTGATGGCTCCTCGACGTGCGAGTCGGGAGGGCTCTCTAAGCGCCGCATTCTCGAAGAGCGGCTGGGGGGTATTGGAGGCTCGAGTGAATGCTTGGATCGAAGCGGCCCACTGGACGCCACCGGGCCGAGGACGGGGCCGATGTTGGGGTGAATAGGTGTCTCGTCGAGGAAAGCCTGTATCCACGGGGTGATATTGTATTCGGCAGCCAGCTCTAGAGCTTGCTCTTCCGGAATCCAAGGTGCACCGTCAGTCTCGTCTGGGCTCGTGCTAGGCAGCGACTTGATATAGGCTCGCTCTGCCTCCTCATCTGCAACTTTCGCGTAAGGAAAGGTAGCCTTGAACAGGCCTATAGCGGAGATGTAGCTATCCGAGGTTCGACGGAGCAAGAAGTAACAGCTCGGGCTCGGGTTCGATCTGATTAAATCAGAGACAATGCCCCTTGGTAGAGGCACGGGCATATGCACGTAGTCGGCTGTGACGCAGCCGTCTTTCTTGTCGCTACCAGTCCTTAGCTTGGCCATGAGCACAGCGCTCGCGAAGCGGCGACGCGAGATAAGCTCCGAGTCTATGTATGTTAGCAGTAAATCACCGTGATCGGCGCACGGAGCCATCATACGAGAGACCTGATGCTGCGCATCGGTCAATAGCGGGTTCGACTTGGCGGGGAGGGTGCGCGCCGCGGGACTCATCGTCGAGGAGGTAGATTTATTTATACGCGAACCAAGAAGATAGCTACGAAAGTAACGGTGATGTGAAGGTTGACGATGTGCGCGAGGTTACCACATTGGCGGCGACCTTCACTTACATGCTGGCTGTTGAGTGTCAGGCTGGTTGATCAGATAACCTTGATTGGTCCGCCACTGCTTCGTCCGGGGAGCTTCGGAACTAGCGGCCCGAGCACCCGAGTCCACTAGTACGGGAGTATCCGGCCGAGCCAGACATGAACGACATTGCGGTCGCTGCAAGTGAATCACGAGAAGATGGGAGAATTTCTATTATGAATTGCGCGACGCATCCAGGAATGAAGTACAATGTTTTAGTTTCAGAAGCTGGCATGCGCCTCTGCTACACTTGGAACGTCCTTGTTCGTCAGGCAGCCAAGGCCCTCACGCACTGACGGCTCCCTATTCGAACGTCGCAGGCTGAAGTGAACAATAGAACTACCCGGGCCTATGCGAGCGATTGCGCTCAATTCATCACAGACGTGTCTGGACTTGATTCTGCGTCTCTGACAGCTTGAATCTATCTGCATCTCGTCATGGCACGCACCAGATCCCAAACTGCGCGCGCCGCTTGTAGCGACGACGGATAGGGCGACGACGCTCTGCCCCCACGCGCATCCACTGCAACTGTGTGACGGTCGGGTTAGACTAGCTATAGGGTAGGTAGATCTAAAGTCGGTTTATAAACTAAGTATACTAGGATATCGTTAACTTAAGCGGTCGGGTTATAGTCTATATGCGAGATAGTAGATCTTACGTAGATAATTATATTAATAGCTAAGGAGCTAGTAGGGACTAACTATAGTAAAGCGTAGCTTCCTATATATTAGTTATAAATATAAGGGCTTATAGGAGCGTCGTGACCTAGTGAGCTATGCGTTAATATTAGAGCGTAAGTATAACATTCGGGTCTAGACTAGCTACAGGGTAGATAGAATAGAAGTCGGTTTATAAACTAAGTATACTAGGATATCGTTAACTTAAGCGGTCGGGTTATAGCCTATATACGAGATAGTAGATCTTACGTAGATAATTATATTAATAGCTAGGGAGCTAGGTAGAGACTAACTATAGTAAAGCTAGGCTTCCTATATACTAAGGTAATTATTATCCTTAATAATAATCTATTCTACTTATTCGTAGTAATTCATAATAATCGTAATAATCGTAGGTACGATTATTCGTATAAGTAATAATCGTGCCGTGAATAGGTAGAAAATAGTAGGGTATACCTAGAAGCACGTGAAGGCCGTATATTAGGTCGTAATATAATACCCCTCCTTCCGAGATCTTATCCCTAAGATTATTTATTACGCGCCTTTCCTAACCTATTAGTTCTAGTAAGTTCCTTCTCCTTTAACTTCCTCGCTATATCCAGCCGTGTCGCTAAGCGTGCGTAGAAATCGTCTTCTAATACTAAAGAGCGTAAGATCCGTCTTCTCGAAACTATTTTCGCATACTCCGTCGAGATACCTACTTACTCTAACTATAAGCGTCGCGGTCTTAAAACTTATTAGGTTTCTACCGATAATTCCTCTCGTTACGCTAAGTACGTCCGTTTAAACCGCTTAGCCTACGACGTTAGTAGTATTTCTACCTCGTAGCTTCGTAAGATCGCCGAATAATATTAGAAACTCGAGACCGAACTTAAACGAGCGGAGGAGAAAGTCTTACGCCTCCGAAAATAAAAAAAACTATAGTTTAAGAAGATAATAAGAGCTATATCTCGTGGTATTAATAGCGTGGAGGAGCTAGAACGCGTAGAGCGGGAGGAGGCTAAGCGCGAGTAAAGGCGGTTAAAAGTATCGGGTTCCTCCGCTAGTCGTTCCTTTACTAAGAACTTCCTAGAGCCTAACTTTATATAGGCGTGGGATACTATATACGAGGACATGCCGCTCGATCCTTCGATCTTAGCGGATTTTAGTTTAGCTAGGTCCGATAGAACTATCGTAATAGGTAGCTATAGTTCGTGAGGTATTTAGCGGGTTCTTATATATTTTCGTTACTTACGTATCCCCTCTATTTAATAAGGTATTTAGTTTCTCCGTTAATTATTTATTTATCGATTATTCGTTCTAGTTCGTAGAGTTCCTCTAGAACTTCCGGTTCGTAGTTTATTTTTACGTTTTATAGTACTTTCTTAAGTAATAAGATATAAAAAACTAGGTATATCCTTATACTTAAGGGTAGTAAAAGTTTATAATTAGTATCTAAGATAACTTCGTCGATTTCGAATAGTCTAAGTTTTTTATAATCGAGCTTTAGTAAGGGTCGAGTTATTATAAAATTTTTACGTAGTAAGTAGACTATATCTCCCCTCCGAAAGATCGGTCCCTTCGATCTTTTCTTATTATAGTATTTCAATATTCGTATACGTATAAATTCGAGCTATCTTTTTATATATTTATATAGTAAGCGTAGTTAGTCTGCTTTAAGTATTGCTTTTTTAGTAAGAGGTCTATCCCTTAGTATTTTACTACCGAACTCGGGCTCGTATCCGTAGTTCGCATAGAATAGTAAGATTTAAGTTAATTCTATAGATACGCTGTTATAGGCGAGTTAGGCGAGTAATAATTTCGAGACCTAATCGTCCTATTCGTAGTTAATATAGTACCGTAGGTATTATTCTAGTATCTAGTTTAACCTTTCTATCTATCTATCTATCTAAGGGTAGTAAGCTATACTAAGCTTATATTTCGTTCTAAGTTAAGCTATTAGGGCTTACTAGAATTTCGAGGTAAATATCGTTCCTCGATCCGAAATAATTTCTTCCGGAAGGCTATAGTTAGCCACGATATATTTAAGTACTATATATACGAGTATTTCTACGTTTATTACTTCTTAGTATAGTAAGAAATATCCGAATTTATTTATTCGGTCTATAATAACGAATATACTATTATATTCGACGTTAGATCCTAGTTCTTTTAATTTAAGTAGCTTTATAATATAATCGAAGGCTATTAATTCCTATAGTCTTAAAGGCACTAGTAGTAGCTTTAGTTCTCTATATAGTTTATACCATATAGCCTTACTACGTGTATAGTCTTCGTATTATCCGACGATACGTGCGATATTTACTTTAATTCCTTAGTAGTCGTACGTTTATTATATTCGTTCGAGAGTCTTCCTTACTCCTTAATATCCTGCCGTAGGGTATATATAAATATTAATTAAGATTTTATCGCGTAGCGGCGGTAGTATCTAGAGTAATCTATTCCTAGTAAGTCTTTTTCCCGTTTCTATTATATAGTCGTCTAGTACTTCCTTTTCGTGTTTAGATACCTAATCTAGTATTTTATCGTAGTATATAGTATCTACTTCGACTCTAAATATAAGGAGGTTAAGTGCTATTTATATATAGTTTCTTTCGTTATTTTATTAAAGTATCTATCCTTTTGCCTTTTATACTTCGGTATCGTAGTCTAGTCGGCGGCTAAGTACGTTTACTCTACCGTTTTCCGATCCTTTCTAATAGATAATCTTAATATCGTATTCGGCTAGGAATTCAGCGTATCGTACTTATCGTAAGCTAAGTTCTTATATCGTAGCGAAGTAGGAGATATTTTAATAATCGGTATAAACCTTAGTCCTAAACTTCGTTCCTAGTATATAGTGCTTGAATTCTTTAATAGCGGCGATAATTACTAAGAATTCTTTATTATAGATAGGGTAGTTTAGTTCCGCGCCGTAGAGTTTCTTCGAAAAGAAGGCGATTAATCTTAGATTATTATTATCGTCTCGTTAGCTAATTTACGCTCCTATAGCGTAGTCCGATACGTTTATTTCTAATTCGAGTGGCCTTTCGGGGTTATAGGTTATAAGCATAGTATTAGATATTATGCTATCTCGTAATATTTCGAAAGCCTTCCTTTATTCTTTTCCGAAGTAGAACTCCTTTTTACTCTTCGTGAGTTCTATAAGTAATACTACGATCTTCGCGAAGTCGCGTATAAAGCGCCGATAGTAATTTACAAACCCTACGAATATTTATACTTCCTTAAGGTTATTTTCTAGTAAGGGCTATTCCTTAACTATATTAATCTTTGCTTATTCTATTAGGATTTCGTTTAGTTTAATTATATATCCGAGAAAGATAATCTCTTATATATAAAACGCGTACTTCTCTAGGTTAACTAAGAGGTTCGTATCTTAAAGTATTTTTAGTACTTAGTAGACGTATTCCTTATATTCTTTAAGGGTCTCCGAGAAGATTAGGATATCGTCTAGATATACTATAACGAAGATATCTAAGTACTCCTTAAGTATATTATTAATTATTCGTTAGAAGGTAGCTAGAGTATTAATAAGGCCGAATAGTATTACTAAATACTCGAATAGACCGAACTTAGTGCGAAAAGCTATTTTCTATTCGTCTCCCCTTTTTATATAGATTAGGTTATAGGCTCCTTTTAGGTTAAGAGTAATAAACTAGTTCTTACTATAAAGTCTATCCTTAAGCTCGTTAATAAGCGGCAGGGGTGTCCTATCTTTAATCGTAATATCGTTAAGCTACCGATAGTCTATAACTAATCGTAGCTTCCTATTTTTCTTTAGCACGAATATAACGGGGTATCTTACTTCCGAGGTAGAGGTTCGAATATAGCCTTTCTTAAGTATTTCGTCGATATATTCTCGTAGTATCTTAAGTTATTTTTAGTTAAGGTTATAGAGTTTATAGAACTTAGTCGAGGTTCTGGTTTTGAGATAGATTTCGTGATCTTATTAACTATATTAGGGAATACCTATTTCGAGGGTTTCCTTAAATAACCTACTATATTTACGATATTCTAGAGGCACGTTCTTTATTCGTTCTTCTTCCGTCGTAGGTTTCTTCTTCTTTTCTTCTTATAGGGCTTAGTTTACTTCGAATATCTTTTATATAATATTAGCGATAATTTATTTTCCTTATTTATATCGTATACCTAGTTATATAGCCTTCTTGGTTAGTACTACGGCTTTTGCCTACTTCGGCTCGCTTATATCCTTTAGTAAAGATTCTTTAGAGGCTAAGTTATCGCGAATATTCGCTTCCTTTTAGTTAAATAGTAATTATCGCGTTATCGTGTCTATCCACGCTAACTAGCTAGTGC